AAAAAAAAAAAAAAAGAAACTGTCAACAGCTTCATCTTGCTTGGATCCACAATTAACACTCTTGGTACAAGCCGTCAGGAAATAAGAGGATTCTTTGCCCTGTGAAAGTCCAAATTATTGAGTAGTGATGTCAGTTTGAGGACTTAGGTGCATCTAATTCCGACCATTGTCTTTCCGATTACTAGTTATGCGTCCAAGACCTGAACAGTGACTAAGGATGATAGGAAAAAAATTGACACCTTTGAGGTGTGGTGTTGGAGAAGACTACTGAGCCATGGGCAGCCAAGAGAATGAACTGATAAGTCTTGGAGTTGGTGCAGCTGGAGTGCCCTTTGGAGCCAAGAATGATGAGGCTTTGCCTCGCATACTTTGGACATGTTGTGAAAGGTGGAGGGTTGTCGAGGGACAGGAAGACCTACCTGGTAACTGCTGCACTGGGCTCTTGTGTATCAGGAAGTGTGAGGATGGCTCAAGACAGAACAGGGTTCAGATCTTTAGTTCCTAGGGTCACTATGAGTTGTGCTCGACTTAATGGCACCTAATAACAACAACATATGCTTTCTTTCCTAACAACATAAGTATGTAATTTGGCACTTCTGGAAAATCTCTTAAATTCAGAATTTTCTGAGTGACACTTTGAAACAAACTGTAAGCGTGAGTATTTGATATCTGAAATATGTTTTTTTTCTGGAAGGTATCGCTTCCTTTAGACATGGTCCCTGGACACGGACATGGACATGAACATGGTCACCATAAAATGGAACTTCCAGATTACAGGCAATGGAAAATAGAAGGAACACCGTTAGAAACTGTCCAGAAGAAGCTGGCTGCACGGGGGCTAAGGGATCCTTGGGGCCGGTAAGAGGAATTGAGTAATTCAAATAGAGTTTAGCCCATAGAATATATTTCTGTTTTCATTTTTAGTGTATTTTTTAAAGAATTATGGAAAAGGACTTTTTCTATTAATGTTTTTAATACCAGCTTTATATCTTCCAAAAAGCTTTTATGATCATTGCAGTCAGTTCTGTCTTATCCCTGGCTACTCGCCATCGTTGATCTATTTTTTTTTGTCTTTATCATGTTTCCTTTTCTAGAAGTCATACCTGGACATTTAATTAATAATTTTAAGATTGGTCTCTGTTGATGGTTGTATACAGTCCTTTCCATTGTATGGAACCCCTCAATTTTTTAATTGTTTGCTAGTTGATTGAAGGAAACTCTGCATGGTTCAAAATTGGGAAGGGTGTATGCCAGCGATGTGTCCTCTCTCCATATCATTTCAATTTATATGCAGAACAGATAATCTGGGAGACTGGGCTTTATGAGGAGAAATGTGCCATCAGGATTGGAGGAAGACTTAAAAACAGTCTTGAGTTACTTACACAGATGACACAACCCTGCTTGCTGAAACTGAGGAGAACTTGAAGTGCTTGCTGCAGAAGGTCAAGGACTGCAGCCTTCAATATGGATTGAAGCTCAATATCAAGAAAACAAAAGATTGTCACCACTGGGCCGATTGGTAGCATCATGGTAGACAATGAAGAGATTGGGATTATAACATTTTCAGTTTGCTTGGCTCCACAGTCAACACTCTTGGCGCCAGCAGCCAGGAAATTAAAAGACGTATTGCACTAGGAAAGTCTGGTGGTAGAGATTTCTCCTAAATACTGAAGAGCAATGATGTCAGTCTGGAAACCAAGGTGCGCCTGATACAGGCCATAGTTTTTGCAGTTACTTGCTATGCATCAGAGAGCTGGCCAGTGACTAGGATGATAGAAGTAGAATTGATGCCTTTGAGCTGTGGTGCTGGTGAAGAGTATTGAATATACCATGGACTGCTAAGAGAACAAACAGGTTCAGCCTAGAGAGGCTGAGGCCAGGCTGCTCCTTGGAGGCAAGGATTCTGAAGCTTTGTCTGACCTACTTTGTATATGTTGCAAGGAGGGACCAGTCCTTGGAGAGGGACGTCATGCTTGGGAGGGTGGAGGGACGACAGCACAGGAGAGGAAGACCCTCGATGAGATAGAATGAGTTAGTGACTGGGGTAATGGGGGTAGGTGTGTCAGAGACAATGAGATTGGCATAGGATAGAGCAGGGTTTAGGGCTATTGTACATAGTGTTGCTATGAGTCGTAGGCTACTTGATTGCACATAGTAACATCAAACAACAGTTGATTGAATAGTAAACCAGCTGTTTACTGTTCACCATGTGACAGTCTTGAGTTGCTTCTGGTTTGTGGCTGTTAGGAATAAAGTTGTTATGACCATTTGAGTACACATCTCTTGTGAAAGAAAGTATGTTTTCATTTCACATGGGTACATCTATGATTAGAACTTCTGGGTCATATGATGAAGTAATTTGATTTTTTTAAAAAACTACCAAACATGGCAGAACCTTTTGCCAAAATAGCAAGCTGTACCATTTGACTTCTCCTTAGTAATATGAGAATTTGTTTAGTGTCCTCATTTACATTTGTTATTGTCAGTTTAATTTTTGTCATTCTTGTCAAATGGATGAGTACCCTCTGTGGTTTTAATTTACATATCCCTAAAGACTGATGATCATGAGACTCTCTAATGTGATTATTTGTCATTCATGTATTTTCTTTGATAAAATCTATACTCACCTCTTGTGTCCATTTTACTTATTGTCTTATTACTGAATTATAAGAATCTTTTTCTATATTTTAGATGTAAGATGCCAGTTTAATAGAAGTTTTGCAGATATTCCAAAGGGTAGCTTAGCTTTTTCTTTTCTTAATAACAG